TATGAACTCGAATAATTTATTTTAAATAATTAGCCAGAAAAGCCCAGATAGTTTAATAGTTAAAATGCTTTTCGTTGGCCTTAATCTACTTTTCCTAGGTCACAGTTACTTAGAATAAACTTGGAAGAGAGATCTAGGGAGACACAGAGAGATATTTCTTAGGATTTACCATCGGGCATTTTGGTGCCTACAATTATTAAATCTTGATCCTGGAAAATCTTCCATGTAGCTTTAAGAGATCACCAAAACACAGGCAAGAGGATCATGAATTGGTTCATGAAAATGCCCACATTCCCAAATGTAGTGATTTAAGTGAATTATTTACATACTATAAAAAACCAACAATTGCTATTTAATTGATTCCAACTCATGGCGATCCCATGTGTGTCAGAGTAGAACTGTGCTCCATAACGTTTTCAATAGTTGATGTTTTGGAAGTAAATCACCAGGCATTTCTTCCAAGGAGCCTGTAGCTATACTCAAGCATCCAGCCTTCTGAACCTCCAGCCTTTCAGTTAGCTACCGAGTGCAGTAACTGTTTGCACACCCATGGGCTCCTTAATGTACTATGGCTGTCACGATATCATTAGTTCAACAACTGGGTGCTTTTTCCAAGTAAATCTGAAAAATGTGCCAGCCCATGTAAATATTTCATAAGCCTTGCCCCTTGACACACAGAATTTATACAGGTGCTGAATAAATGCAATCACTGTTGTTGAATGCCCTGAGAGAAGTCATTACTCTTTTCTGGAACACTGTTTTCAGCCTTCATTTTAAACAATGAGCCTCTGTAGTTCTTACAGTGTAAATTTTAGCATCTAAAAAGAGCAGTAAACCAGTGCATTTTCTTTGAGGTATATAAACTGTGCTCAAGGAAACCCATCATCTTGTATGGGCAGTTAGTGCAGAGGGTTATAGTAGGTCTATATCCAAAAACAATGATTTTCACAATTGAAAGCAACAAACATGCCACAGTAATCCATTATTTTTCTCTCTGTGTTTTGGACCCTGTAATCCATCAGATGAGCAAGTCATCAAAAGGATTATTGTGTTATTTTGAAAAATAGGCTTTTCATGCCAGTGCATAACCAGACACCCAGTGAGCTCTTTGGTTAGGGCTTACTTTCTTTTTCCAAAGCAAAGCTGGGCTGTAACCTGGTACTGAGCTTCACTTTCCTCAGGACTCCCATCAGTATGCCTTTTTTGTTGACATGTGTTGTATTTTTCTTTTTCCTGTTTACTTTTTAAATAAGGATAAAATGATTTAGATTTATTACTATTACTCGCTTTAAAGTTTGGCAAATTAAATCTAGTAATTACAGAGAAAGTAAAAATCAATCTAATATCTAAAGTTCAAATACCTTAATAAAAGTCTATCTAGTACAGCTAGAACAGTGAGATTAGAAAATCAAACCAAAAAGGAGGGAAATCAATCATTTAAGAGAACAAACAATCAGGATGTATATGGGAGCAGAGGGGATGAATGAGTTCCTGAAAGTATGATAAGTGGGGACACTACTTAGAGTTATCAGGCCAGGAAGGTCTGAAGGACCTTTTCAGTTGAGACTTAAAGATGAGAAGGAGGCAGCTGTGAGAAGAGCAGGAGATAAAGCATTCCAGGTAGCAGGAGCAGCACACTGAAGGTTATAAGGTGAGAGAAAGCTTGATACATTCTAGGAACAGAAAGATGACAATTACAGCTGGAGCTTAGTAAGTGATGAGGAGAGGTAGCCTGGGATCAAGTCATTCAAGGCCTTGCAGGCCTTGGTAAACAGGGTGCTAACTACAGGGAAAAAAATGCTTAGGGCAATTAGTGTTAAATTGCTGAATGATCTCTCACAGCTGGCGTGGAAATTGCTAATTGGCCCCACACCTCAAGCAGTGCCCAGGGTATGCACCCTACCTGGCACACTGCAGCTGCCCCCCCTCCCCTTAGGTCTCTGTTGGTAAAAGGATGTGAATTCTATTCTAGGTACTGTAGGAAACCATTGAATGGTGAGCGTGTGTGCTTATGGGTGTGTGTGTGCATGCACACGTGTGCTTAATGGCACTATCAGTGTTATCTTTTTAAAAAGTCACTTGGTGCAGTGTAGAGAATGATTAGAGGGGATAGGAGAGGAAGCAGGCAGACTGATGAGGAGTAGTCCAAGTGAGAGTGATGATGGTCTGACAGCGGAAAGGAGAGGAAGCAGGCAGACTGATGAGGAGTAGTCCAAGTGAGAGTGATGATGGTCTGGCCTCCAGGTACTAGAGGGCCAATTAGCCATTTGGCCCATAGGCACAGTTCATGGGCTTAGTCTGTAAAGGTATTAGAGACCTGTGGGCTGAAAAAAAATGGTTGGCTCCAAAAATACAAAAATAAAACTGCAAACTGAAATGAATAAGTGTTTAAAAGTCTGCATAGTCAACATTTTGTCAGCTTCATTAATAATTTTTAATTTGATAGTAGAATTCCAATGTTATTACATTTAAAACCATTTCTATGTCAGATTTTTCTAATTTTGCAGTAAATTTTGAATATAGTATGTGTGTTGGGTGCTTAGAAATCATAATCAGTCACAAGTTAAAAGGTTACTCATAGCCATGTATTTTGCAAGGCAAACTTATTAAAATCTTCTCAAAAGTTTAAAAAAAAATCAGAAAAATAAGTGTACTTAATATAAGATGTGAATGCGTTTTAATGCTTGCTATGATGTGGTGTGGGCTTTTAAAAGTATGAGTATTTGAGGGCTGTAAAGTCTTAAAAGAATCCTGGAGTGTTGGAAATAGAGATGGAAAGACCTGACTACATTTAGAAATATATAGAAAGACTCTGTTGGACTTTCTTGTGTTGAGGGGTGGAGGAGAAGTCCAAGGAAAATTCCAGGTTCTTGGCTTGAGCAACTGGATATAAGGTGCTGAAGTATGAGAGTAGCATTTGGCAAAAAAGCCAAGACTGGGAAAGAAAGAAGTTTGGACAGAGCAGGTGTCAGGAGTGTGGATCAAGAGGTATTTCGTGATTTGTGGGTTAGAGATTCTTGGCACTTCCCAACTTCGATATGGTGGACTGTACACAGTCCTCACCCTCTAGGAGCTTGAGATCCAAATGCCTGTGTTTTAACAGGGCTTCCCTAGGGGCCTGGAACCAGAGCAAAGCACATGGTATCAGTAAATCTGTTGGCGTTGAGTCGATTCCATTCATAGCGATCCTCTAGGACAGGGTAGAACTATCCCATAGAGTTTCCCGGGAGCACCTAGTAGATTCAAACTGCCAACCTTTTGGTTAGCAGCGGTGGCTCTTAACCACTATGCCACCAGGGTTTCTGTGGTGTCAGTAAAGCACTCTTTATATAGGGGAAATGACTCAGTGGTTGTTCAGGCAGGAGCTATACAGATGGAGACAGGCTGTGCCACCTGCTACCCACTTTATCTTGTTGAGATCTGAGGCCGTTTTTGCTTGATCTGCAATGTGATAAAATTTCAACACAGTATAGGCTCTTTCGCGTCTGTTGGAGAATGTTGGAGGTGAAGGGACCACACAAGGGCCAGGTTTGCTGAGGGAGTCTGTGTATTGGATTTATTGTAGCCCAAGTTGGGGATACAGGAATGTTAGAAAAATGAAAAATATTAAACTTAGAAGTTTATTCCCTAAAATCTACCTTTACTGTCTTGTCAAAATTTTGAATGATCAATATAGAAGTACTTTTATGGGAGAATTCTAATTCTTAAAATTTATTGAAGCAGATGAGTTTTATAATTGTATAAGTACTTTTTGCAATAGATATGTTCAGAAATAAGTTCAGGCAAGATCGGGAGACCTAGAGAATTAAAATACTGCTCACAAACTGTAATTCCAACAATTTGCCCTGACTCTGGTGTGTTTTAGCTGATTTTAGAGCTCCTCCTACTGGCCAATTCCATAATCAGAATATATTCTTCAAAAATCTGTGATTTGAGTTTGGGTATAGTTTAAACAAACAAACAAACAAAAAAACCCTTGCCATCAAGTTGATTCTGACTTATGGGGACCCCATGTATCACAGAGTAAAACTGCTCTGTAGGGTTTTCTTGGCCGTAATTTTTACAGAAGCACCAGGCCTTTTTCTGTGGTGCCTCTAAGTGGTGCCTGTGAACTGCCAGTCTTTAGGTTAATAGTCAAGTGCAAACCATTTGTGCCACTCAGAGACCTGAGGATAGTTTAATGGGTTAAAATTCAGAACAATATTAGAGTTTGGTAGCAGTTTAAAAAAGAATTTATTTTGTATGTAATTTCAGAACTCAAAATGTCCCCTTCCTTTTGAATGTTTATATGCTGTGTATTTATCTACATAGAAGGAAAAAGTTCTGTAAAATTTTACCATTTGCATGTTCTAAAGTAATTCACATTATCATTCTTCACTAGCTCTGATTGGCGTTGTGGACCAAAGTCTTATGAAGGATTTTTCTGGCCCTGCTGGGGAGATTTCAGCATATGGTCCTGGAGTTCTGAGTCCTGTTGGGATACAAGATGGAGATGGCAGAAGGGAAGTCAGAACCCCAAGTAAAGCCCCACATTTGCAGCTCATTGAAGGAAAGGTATGGTAAATTAGTACAATGTATGATTTTAAACTTGTACTTAGACTGAAGGCTACCTGTTGGAATTTGTTGTTTCATATATTAAATATCAACTCATTTAAAATTAGTCATTGTGTGTTCTCTGTTGATACGATTTCCCAATTTTCAAAAATGTATAAGTTCTT